CACTACCATCGCTTCAGCATCTCCCCCCTGACGGAAGTCATGATTATTTTCTGTAAAAAAGGATTCTAACCTTCTTGCCGTGGATGCTAAACTGGCCAGATCTTGAAAGTCGTGGGCTGTCAGGGCCTCGCGAAGTCTGGTATGCATGTTCCTGACCACCAAATTGGTCATGTCGCTTTCATTGATCATCGTAGGACATCGTCCCTTCATCAATCGCATCCTCTCTATGAATTGGTAGCCGGTCTCTTCCGGCATCTGCGTGATCTCCAGAAGGTCTATCAGTGAGACTGTCGGCAGAGGATTAAAGAACCTTGCATGAAAAACTGCCTCTAAATCTTCCCAAGTTTGCAACTGTCCAGGCGGCAGACTGACATACCAAGAAAAAGCTGTTCTTGTGAGCGACAACCCAAACAATTGTAACTTGTGAAACGGATTGTTGCCTACTTCTCCCAATTGAGCCGTGAAGCGACCCACATGCTCAATGGTAGAGGCTCCGTCTTCTCCCGAAAAAGAATAGAAGTCTGGTGGCCTATAATTTCTCGGGAGAGGATGATCGTTAATGATCCTTTCTGGAAATGGCCTCTGGTAAACTGGCCTGTTCACCGTTTGCGGATTCATTCCGAAATGCACCCGCAGAACTTGAGCAATATCCTCCGGATCTACTCTGGGTGGAATATGGTCAAACACTGGAATGTGATCGTGAGTCTGACCTCCCAATCTTTCTTCTCTGGAGAAGGCTGGTTCGGCTGGGATGGGATTATGAGTCTGTCCCTCCAACCTTTCTTCTCTAGAGAAGGCTGGTTCGGTTGAAATGGGATTATGAGTCTGTTCCCCCAACCTCTCTTCCCTAGAGAATGCTGGTTCGGTTGGAATGGGATTATGAGTCTGTCCTCCTAATCTCTCATTCGGCTGGGTATTATCAACCCTCGGTCCCAAAGGAACATTATCTGGGAAAGTTAGAGGAATCTTCCCCATATCTGTTCGGTTGAAAGTTGTGACGCTTGGAAACGTACTGTCAACGTACGTTGGCCCTGCAAACGTTGATCCTGGAAAAATCGCCTGAAAACGAGCAGGTGACACGGCTGGAAGCATGTTTGGATACAGGGTGAATCTGGAGAATGCCTGATCCACCATGTTCTGTATTAGATTTTGTTATTCACGCAACATGTTCGTTTGTTGCTCACGCAACATGTTCTGCATAACCAAAGTTTGCTGGTTGTTCATTTGTTGAACATAAGACAACCAATCGGTAGGTGGTGGGGGAATCTCCCCTGGATTTGGCATGACTGGTGGTGAAACATTCTCTCCCACCGGTGCTGATGATGATTGAGGTTGTGTGCCTGCCATATTGATTTTTCTGATGATTCGGCCAGACCTCAGTTGTATGACATTTTGTGTTGATGTAGGATCAGCAATCTTGCCTTTCTCCCACTGTGGTCGCCAATTTGTTGATGTAATTTTTCAACAAAAATAAAGTAAAATTCAAAGATATAGAAAATATCCTTAAACTTGATTAATTAGTGCCTGAGATTAGGAATCTCTAAACACTGTATGGTACAGAAAATAAACTGGAAAATAAAAGACTGAAATTTAAAGTGGTGATCCCCAAATCTGACTTTGCTTTGTTGAAGTTGATTGAAGATGCCTTGCCAAATGATGATCCAAATCCTTAAATATTCTTTGAAGAAAACGTTCAGAACCGTCGTCTGGTCAGTTACCATAACCGTTGTTAACCGCCCCAAAAGTTCTCTTCTATTGACACGTGTGTCAACCGTTCTACTACGTCCGACCTTCAAAAAACCGTTCGCCAGTTGCAACTTCCTCTAACCGCCCCAGAACTGCTCTCTCACCCGACCTGCACATGCTACTTCATTTGGTCCGAACTTCGTATCATGTCCTGACCTCAATGCCCGACCTGCTTCTTCGCCCGACATCATTTGGGCCGACCTCCGCATCAGCTGCCCTCCGTCTTTGACCGACTTTAATTGGTCCGACCATGGACCAACCAAATGTGGTCCCTACCATGGACCAACCGACCGGCTCTATTTGCCTTATCTCTTTAGAAGGACAGACTGTCCTCTGGACAGACCTCCGCATCTGTCCGTACCTCTTCCTTGCCCGACCTTTCTCTTGACAAACCTTCGCGTCTGCCCGACTTCGTCTTTCACCCGATCTACGGTTTACCCGACTTGGGTACACCTTTTTTCAGACTCCGCCCGACCTTTCTTCCTTCCCGATCCTTGCATCTGTCCGATTGCACCCGACTTCTGGGTCATTTAAATTATATCCAGACCCGTCCAGAATCCCACTGCCATTATTTATTATTATTATTTTTTTTTTGTGCTTAACAAATATGAAGATAGGTCTAAATTTATTAAAAAACTTAAATTATACAAAAATTTATTAGATAATTCATTAATGAAAATTTATTTAAAAATTCAATTTCATTCAAAAATTTACTTTTTTTTTTTAAAAAAAAGACTTCTGCTCTTGGTTTTCTGGTAGAATAATGTTGTTTTCTACCGTAAAAAATAGGGCTAAAAAATATAAGAACTCGAGAAAGAAGTAAAACTTGCTTCTGCCATCAATTAAATTAAAAAAAAAAAAACCTATAAAATTTATTAAAAAACTTACTTCAAGAAGGACTTTTGCTTGTACTCCTAGTGGCAATATTTTTCAATAGAAAATTTTTGTTTTCTACCATAAAAAAGAACAGGGCTAAAAAATTATATATAAATTCAAAAAAAATTAATATAAATCAAATAACAGGAAAATATAACAGCTGAGGAAGAAGTAAACGTTTCTGTTGTTTTTTCCATAAATTAATTTTTTTTTAAAAAGAACAACACCCCGTAAAACTTGTCTCAACGAAAAAAAAAAGAACAATATCCTCTAAAACTTGTCCGAAGAAATTTTCTTCTCCGGCAATCTTCTCCAATATTCACTATAAAAACTTCCGTAAAAAACTAATCCATTTAAACATAAATTTCTAAACTGTATGTCTACTATTGTGTAAAAAACTGTAAAAAAAAAAAAAAAACAAATTAAAAAAAAAAATCTCAAAATTCTGAGATTGCAGAATTTGAGAAATTCCCAAAAAGTGGGATCCATGTTTTGAGCTCTTTTATATATATATATATATATATATATATGATATGATTATTCTTTTTTTTCATTTCAATATTATTTTTATTTTTACTCAAAATATGTATTTTATAATTATATTAATATGTAAGAATTGAATAACACGGCCATGTTCTGAACAGGGTTATGAATAAGGTCATGTTTAGTGCAAGCTATTCAATGTTGAGTCCAACACGTGTTGGTCGTCTGGGCCACCTAATCACTCTTATGAGTCATCCAAAATTGATAAATTTTTATTTAAATGAAATCAAAGTTGATAAAAAAAAAAAAAGTTAATGTTACAAAAAGTGATTTTTGCTCTTTGTATTTTTAAAAAATTATTTGATTTTTAATAAAAATTGATAAGAAAATATGAATTCCAAAAAGAGTAAAATCATTTTTGGTCTCGTTTAACATCATAATTATCAATTTTGGTCTAATTCGAAAAATAATTATTAATTTTATTCCCACTCAAATAAAAATTTATCGATTTTAGTCTCAATATGATTGACTGAGATTGAACACGGTCGTGGATGACTCGGAAAGTAACTGAGCGTCCCAGCTAGCTCAACACAACGATAATTCAACAAAAATATTTTTACAATTATTTCACAATATAAAAAATAATCAATTTTTAATATTTTAAAAATATATAAAAATAATAATATATTAATATATATTTTTAATAATCATATAAATTATAAATTAAATTTATTATTCAAAATAATATTTTAAAATAATACTCCCTCCGTTATACCAGAATTTAGGATAAGTATGTAGATAATTAAAAATATATTAGTGAAAATAATTATCATATAATATAAATAATTATAAATTAAAATTAAAATTAAGATAACAATTAAATTAAAATTTAAAAAAATTAAATTAAAAAATAATGTGTAATTATTTTTAAAAACGAAAGTGACATGAGCTGTAGAACAATAGAAAGCACAATGTGAACATGGTAAGTAAGAGGGAAAAAGTATTATTAAAAATATATATTAATATATTATTATTTTTATATATTTTTAAAATATTAAAAATTAATTATTTTTTATATTATGAAACATGGCAGTGAAACATGAGAATATGACCTGAAACAATGTGACTGTGTTCAGAACATAACAAGAACACTGTATAAGTGCAGGGTAATCAATATTGTCAGGTCGACACTAACACCTTCATGTTCAGTCTAAAATTGATAAATTTTTATATGAATGTGATCAAAATTAATAATTTTTTTTAATTAGATCAAAATTAATAATTATGAAATTGAACGATAGTAAAAACGATATTTGCTCGCCAAAAAATGGACAAGCTCATCTATCTTTGTATCTCTCTCATTTTTTCTTTCAAAAATATCGGTGGATGGGAGGGCCGCTGTCGCTGTTGAATTTTTGGTACGGAGAGGAAGAGCTACCGCCGTAAAGAAGAGAGAAGGTTGCCATCGCCAGAAAGTTTCCAGTGTGGGGAGGCAAGTTTCCGTTATGGGCGTCGTGCGGAGGAGAGAAATCTCCCATAGTGTGGATAAGGAGAGAAAGCTGCCGCCGTTGCGAGGAGGAAGAAAAGCTGCCTTCTCCTATGATTGATGGAGAAAAAAAAAAGTAATAGCTATGTGTGTTTTAATTTTATTTTTTTTTTATATAAAAAATAATGATTTATTAGAGGTTTCTACCAACTTGAAATAGAGGGTTTCTTTTTTATCTCATGTGTATTGCATTTGCTCTAATTAATTAACATTCCAGTCCATTAATAGAAAGGAGGAAGAATTCGAACAAATTGACTAATTAATCAGCAGGCCAGGCCAGGACGTTGAAGCCCACGAACAATACATGTGTAGTGTAGCGTCCATCTTAATCTTAAGGTAAGGTGTGGGACAGTGGAGGATCGGATTGGTGTAGAAATTACTTTGTTCAGAAGTCAGCAGGACTCCATTAATGTTTTGACGTGGTGCTGCACCGCAGTACACAACCACCCGCCAGAGCAGAACAGAGAGATTAATAGGTGGTTGAGGGGGAAGGGGTGGGGAGTCAATACTCTGGAAGGAAGGAAGAAAGAAGAAATAGAAATTAATCCAATCCACCACCACCAAATCTACTTTAACTTGCCTTTCTTTCCCTTTCTCTGACTTTTAATAAATAAATGTATCACCGCAGGGCAGCAGTTGCAGCAGCAGCATCCCATCTTCCCATGCGTGGTGTGTATGTACGTATACAATTGATTGATTACGCGGGTCGGTTAGGTTAGGTTAGGTTAGGTCAGGTCAGATTAGGATACCACACCACACCTTACACCCCCACCAACAAAAGTCTCCACTTTTTACCTCAAGAATCAAGATTCATTCAATGCCCGAGTAATTAACTAACTGTACAATCAAAGAAAGAAAGATAAACAAACATCGAAAGAGAGCTTATTAGTCCTTCCCCGGGTGTTGTTTACATGATTCGTCTGTTTGTCAACATCCCCTTGTTCTTTATTCCTATTTTATTCAGAAACAACTGCTGCCTTGCCTTAGATTAGATTGGATTAGTTTCTTCAGTTGCATTGCAGCACCACCAACCCTCTCTCCCTCTTTATATGCTGCTGTTGCCGGCCTTCACAATCTCTCCGGTCCTCTGCGCGCGCGCACACACTCACACTCAGATACAATAAGCAGCCGCCAACACCCCTCTTTCACAACCTATTATATATATCTGCAGGCTCATTAAACAAGAAATTAAATTTGATCATGGGTACCAGGAGAGGAGCTGCAACCTACTTATTATTCGTAGCGGTTGCAGCTGGAATGATCTGCTCGATCATGGGAGGAGGAGTTGATCAGTCATCAAGCCCAATGCGAGGGAGAATTCATTCTTTCCGCTCTCATCTGCGGAGAATGCAAGCGTCGGCTGTAAGCACCGATGCCACCCTATCGTGTGTTTGTGGTTGCGCGGCTAGCCTAATTTGTATATATATATAGACTACATGCGTGACATTCATTCATTTTGTTTGTTCTCCGTCAAGGAAAATACGCACTTTTTTGTTTTGGTTGCAGCCGTCAGGTGGGGGTGGGGGTGGGGCGAGCCCGGTCGTGTATCATGTGACATCTTACGGCGCCGACCCAACAGGGGAATCAGACAGCACCGACGCGATCCTGGGAGCCATCTCAGATGCAGCAGCAGCAGCGGCAGCAGCGAAAGCGAAAGGGCCCGGAAAGGAGGGGTCCTTGATGGACGGGATCGTGAACCTTGGTGGAGCCAGGATCGATCTCGACGGCGGCAACTACCTCATCTCCCGCCCGATACAGCTCCCGGTGCCTGGAAGAGGGAACTTTGTGGTAAGTAGAAGAAAGTTTACAAGTTGGGAGGGACCATGTCCTGTCCTGTCATGTGATGTTATTTGATCGATCGATCGATCAGTGGTTGATCATTTAATCTGTACATCACTGATGAGTACTCTCGCTCTCTCTCTCTCTCTCTCTGAATGCAACAGATTCACGGAGGCTCGCTGACAGCATCCAGTGACTTCCCCAACGATGGGTATCTGATAGATTTATCCCCCTCCGGCAGCAACGGCAACGGCACCGGCACGGGGTCATCGTCGCCGCCGGAATACAACTACGAGTTTGTAACCCTGAGGGACCTGTTCCTGGACTCGAACCTACGCGGCGGCGGAATACAGGTGGTGAACTCCCTGAGGACCAGCATCGACAACTGCTACATCACGCGCTTCAACACCACGGGCATTGCGGTTAAGGGCGGCCACGAGACCTACATCCGCCACTCGTACGTCGGGCAGCACGCCACCGCGGGGGGCGACCCCCACGAGCGGGACTTCTCCGGCACCGGGATCGTGCTGGCCGGGAACGACAACGCGGTCACGGACGTGGTGGTGTTCTCGGCCGCGGTGGGAATCATGGTTCTGGGCCAGGCCAACACCCTGTCCGGGGTGCACTGCTACAACAAGGCCACCGGCTTCGGGGGCACCGGGATATACCTCAAGACCCCCGGGTTGACCCAGACCCGGATCCTCAACTCGTACATGGACTTCGCGGGCATTGTGGCGGAGGACCCGGTGCAGCTCGCCATCAGCGGCACCTTCTTCCTCGGGGACGCGTACGTGCTGCTGAGGTCCGTGAGGGGGGTGGCGGACGGGGTGAGCGTCGTGGACAACATGTTCTCCGGGTCGGGCAGGGGCGTGGAGATCGTGCAGCTGGAGGGGGCATTCACCCAGGTGGACCAGGTGGTGATCGACAGGAACAGCGTCCGAGGGATGCGGGCCAGGGCCACGGTGGCCAGGGGGAGCGTGGAGGGGGACAACGGCAACGGCACCACCTGGACTGCGGACTTCAACTCGGTGCTGCTCTTCCCGGACCTGATCAGACGGGTGCACTACACGTTCGTGACGAACGGGACCTCCTTCCCGGTGCATGCGGTGCGGAGTACATCCAACAACAGGGTCGTCATCCAGTCGAGTGCCGCCGCGCCTGCTGCCTCTGTACTGCTGCACATCACCGCCGATCAGGGGGAACCAGTGGCTTGGCTGCCTTCCTAGCCTAGCCTAGCCTAGCCTAGCCTAGCTTCCTTCTCACTCTAATACCAACCACAACAATTCCTGACTAGCTAGCCATATATAAATACTACTCCGATATATATTTATATATATATATTTAATTATTCTCCACATATATATACATAGATGATATACTCATTCATGTGTTAGCTTCTTTGAGCGTCTCCAACCATGTTCTATTTACGGTGTTTCATCACCATTTTTGCCGCGCCATTTCATACACTAAATTTAGAGTCTGCTATAGTGCAATACCATTTTTTATATTACACTGTAGCAAAAAGTCATTTATTTATTATTTTATAAACAGAGACGATGGATTGAAGATGTTCTTAGCAATAAAACTACACAGACAGATAAGACAAGGTACATACACACCTTAGCTTTCAATAGTCAATTCCTTCAAGGTACATACACACCTTAGCTTTCAATAGTCAATTCCTTCACACACACACACACATATATATATATATATACAAGGTCGTCGGACCATTCATAAATCCGTACGTACGTTATACTCACACAGCTACATATAACTTAATTAATTAATGAAAATGATCTTCTTCTTCCGATCGACATGCTAATTAAGGTGGAACAAATTCACGTCTGGTGTGAAGATCGACATGACTCCACAGCCACTTTCTTCCCGGAGCGATCAATTAACACTACTGTGTCTGTCTGTGTACAATCATATTCTCACAAACGGGTCCCCAAGCCTATATATAGGAACAACTATTCCCACCAACAAGTGTTTTGGGGGAATATCGACCGACTTGATTGCAACAAATTAAGCTCAGTTTTAGTGGCGAGAGACGGAGAAAAGAAAAGTGGGTCAAACCCACCAGAAGTGAGTTATAAGAAGATATAAAATGTACATTTCCAAGAACTGAGTTATATGTTGGACGATATACGTCGGTGATCCTGATCCAGGATCGAAATTAATTTACCAAAATGAAAACCAACCTTTTAAGCCTTATAGTAAGTATACTTGTTAGTATATTACTCCATATGCTAGAAATTAATTAAGCACTGATTGGATGGATGGATGGATAGAAGTAGGATAGAGGATAGGACTGGGGTTGGGTTGGGTTTGGGTTTGGGTTTGTGGGACGACAAAATAAAAGGCGACCCGACCACCCACATGACTTGGACTTATTAGAATGGACGTAGTGATTGATTGATTGATTGGTAGATTCTCAGCAAAATAATTACCACCTGCGTGTCCCTTTCATCTTTCTTAATTGATTTTGGAAAACTAGATAGCAACAGCCAGACTTGTCAAGGTACCCACCCGTTAAGAGTCCTGATACTACATGCTCTATAAAATAAAAGTATGCTTTCTGAACTCTTGAGGTGATTTCTGGACTCTTGAACCAGTGTTTTGAGGAAATTTCACTATTTGTATGCATAATAATGTGATATCTTGAACTTTTGAATGATGTTAGGAACTCTTAATATGTATAATTATTTGAAAAACAAACGGTGTTGGCATCAATACATGTGCGAATATAGACGGTTCTAATCAAGTGTATTCTTTGTCATAATATTTGTGGATTGGTTACCATGAACCAGTACTTTAATTTGATCCTGCCTGCTTCATATATATCGATTAGAATTCTCCTTTACCAAATACGTACGTACATGCATTAATGACAAGCAGTTGCAGAAGCATGTATATATATATATATATATATATCACAACCTCAAATGATGACATAGAGAGTAAGTAATATATAGATGGATATTATTTGAACTCCAGTGGATGGCAAATATATATGATCTAAGTAAGTTAGGATATATAATTAAATAACTAGTACTGTAGTAGTATAAATTAAAGTGTCCAGTCCACCTCCCTTATTGTAGGTATCATCGTTGAATTAATTTCTTCCTCTTCCTAGCTCATTGACAGGAAAAGTTTTGTCGATATATGTTCATCCCACCCACACCCACATTCATTATAATGCGCAGATGGTCGGTCCAAGTTTTTGTTTGAAGTATTACCTTAATTGTATATATGATGAGCCGAATCATGAGTTTGAAGTGAAGTTATTAATCAACAGATCATCATTAATTACTTTCAAGCTAAGGCAGCTTTCACAAATTTTAATTATTCGACCCCCTACACTACTTTCTTATCTCATGCATGCATGCTTCAAGGGGCATTGTGATGAATTCAGTGTGTGTGTGTGTGTGTGTGTATGTATGTACATTGTACACACTACATCAATTATATACGCACATTCACTGGACTGTATTCAGCCGGGATTAACTCCATTAATTAATTAAAAGCGGAACGGAATCGATAATTAATGTTTAATTTTGAGAAATCTATAGCCTGTGCTTTATTATGTATCCACAGGATACATAAATACATACGTACATCCCGCGAGAAGAGAAATAATTAATACATCATGCAGAAACTATATAATTATATATATCAGATATATATAGTACACTAAACTATCCCGAGGCATGTACTTATGGCTATGTCGGCAATTGATTTATCAATTGCAAAATCGGACTATATATATATATATCGTTAGTAGATTGAATTATACTCGCAGGCTACGTACGTACATTGTGTTCTGGATAACGAGTTTGCATATGGATGCATGTCTATATGCCTTTATATGTATAAAATTGTCGATTATCTTAATTTCCCGGCCAGAAGTGGTGGTGGTGGTGGTGCCATGTTTGAGCGGAATAGTAATCTTGAGGAGGCGAGTGCAGCAGCTGGTCCGGAAGCGGAAGGGTTTGCATGCCCAGCTGGTCATCCCCTAAATCATCACTAACTAACAGTGGAAGTACTGGGTCATGATGACCCGGTGGCCGTGATGAGGAGTTGCCCGCAGCTGCAGGAAACACTAATTCATGGTCGCCGGTGACATCATCAGCAAATCTGTTGTCAATTTGAGATAATGAGGAAAAGCTTGGGGCAGAATAATTCTGTTGATCATATTGATCTTGCTGATGATCATGAGGTGGGAATTGGCGATGTCGGTGGGGATCCGCCGCATGGTCAGAAGAATAGCAGGCGCTGCTGCTGTACTGCGCAAAGTTCAAGTTGATGGGGCCTCTGCCTCGGGGGGCCGCGGGTGGTGGCGGTGCTGCAGTGTGACAGCCGGTGAAGTGCTGCACAAGAGAGCGGAAGTTGTTGGGGCTGGCGTTGAGGAGAGTCATGGGGGCCTTCTTGGAAGCCCTCGACCGCCTCCTGGATGTCCTGCTCCTGCTCCTGCTCGTCGCTTTATCTGCAATCTCGGGTTTAGGGTACAGATCAGAACCTGATCGGAGGACGAGGAGGAGGAAGAAGAAGAAATTAAGACTAGTGTTCATATCATACCATTCCTTGGAAAAACCGACCTAGCTAGAATATTACTACTTATAATAATTAACATTCCTGACTGATCGATCGATCAATCATCTTCATCATCAATATCTAATTATATATATAGATATATATATATATACTGCAAGCAAGACTAGGCACGATTGCTGTTAATTAATTATCACCTGGTCCTGCAGATTCAGATGCAGATGCAGTGGTGGTTTCATCAGAGATCCTCTGCATGTTTCACGAACCTCCGATTCTCCTTAATTTGATCTCCATACATAATAATACTAGTATGTTTAATGATAATATTACTAAGACGAGCTAGCTAGGTGGATAGGGTTACATCCATATATATAATATCAGAAATGATGATATATATATATATATATATGCCTTCCGATCCTCAGCTCATAAATTCATTGGTGCGCAGAAGAATCTTGGAAGCTAATTATATTTGTATGGTTTGTTAAAGCAGCAGCTTGGAATGCAGCTAATTATATGTATACTGAGACGAGACGAGACGAGACGAGAGAAGAGAAGAGAAGAGAGGGTGGGCCTTGTCTGAAAAATGCAGAAAGTGGGCTTTGTTTCTCTTAATTAATTAATTAGCTAGTGTGGGGATGTTTCGAGGAAATAAGGAATGAGGAGCATGTTTTGACGAGTCAAAGCGTGATATCGTAATAGTGACGTTGTTGTTATTATAATCTTGGCAACCAAGCAAGTAAGCCAATACTAGCTAATCTAATCTAATCTAATCTAATCTAATTAGTTGGACATCCATCCTCAGCCCCATTTTCTTCAGTCCCGCCCATTGTATGTATATATATATATATACATACATCATTTTGTGATGGGACTGGCAAAACAGGGGATGGGCGATCCGATGCCGTTATATTATGTGTGGGGGCTCAGATCAAAGATCAATTTGTGTGCTCAATCACATGACGCATGCAAGCTAGCTAGCTAGTTTAAAGTAATTTGTTGAGTTTTACTTTTGCAATGTGTAGTAGTAATGTGAACGCCATATATATATATTATATTCTAGGTTTGTACATACAAGCATACAATACATACGGACAGACAGACATGTTTGACTGACTGATTGACACACACGGGTAGGTTAGACTTGACCTAGGCGTTGGGTTGTTAGCTAGCTTATATACTATATTAGCAAAGTCAGAATCAACATGTATATATATAGATGGATAAGATAAAGATATGATAGGATCAGATGTGAACGCAAGCAAGCAACTCCACCCCGCTGCTGCTGTTGTTGTGGTTGGGACCATACATATTAATTCTCTATTTTCTAACATAGATCAACTCCCCATTACTAGTACTCCTACTCCTATATTATATTGTAGTAATTAGTTGTTGGTTGACCAAGATAGATAGATTGATTGATTAATCAATTAATTGGGAAATTAGGAGGAAAGGGCACAAGCTAAGCAGCAGCAGCAGCAGCAATGCCCAATGGGGCTATTCACTATTGGTGGTTTGTGTTTGAATGATGGGATGCGTCCGTCGCCAAGTCTTGGTCTCGTCTCTACTCTACTCTATTCTACTGCTGACCGACGACTTCTCAATCCCAATCCTCATGCTGGCTGCCGCCGCCTCCAGCTTCTTCCTCCCTCCAATAATCTAATCACAATTCTAATAATATATATCATCAACTATACGTACGTAACAAGGAATCCATGTTATATACTAAGTAGTACTCCATTAAGCAAAGTGCAGTTAATAATTATATATATATATATATATATATATTTGGAGAAAGGAAGGAAAGGGTAGGAGAAGAGAGGATCCGGTCAGGTCAAAAAGAGATGATCTATTGATCACCCACACGTACAGTCACCCACTTTGACCATACACACACCCACAGACAAACATTGTATTGTTTGTATGTATGTATGGATAGATATAGTAGCCAGGCAGCCAGTCAGTCAGTCCATTGACCGAGTGAAGTGAGAAAGTTGCTTGCACTTGCAGTAGCGAAGACGATCGAGTCGACAGGGACGTGCGAACAACCAACCCGGCTCCCATACCCTTTCACATTTCACATTTTACATCCACATCCATTTCAAATGCCAATTGATAACCCCAAATATGAGTATATTTTTCGTTTGACAAGACATAATATTTGATTTATGGTATACTTTATTGATCTATGTCGCTTGACATGATTCTTGATTTGTTGATATTATTAACAATTTTTGTCCACTGATACGGTCCAAAAAAGCTAAGGCGGATGAGGCAAGCGACAGTCATTTCCGTTCACAAGTGACGACGACCTCTCAGAAAAACTAAGACAAGAGAGGCAAACGATAGCTCCTAACCGCTCGCAAGCGAAGCTCCATCGCTCAAGTCAGAGACCAGACACCCACCGCAACGGCAACTCAGTGCAAATATCGCCTAAGTGTCTAACCCGCAACGGTACAACCATTCCATTACCAGCCAACACAGACAAACCAACTCAGTTGCACTGATGCCTTCCAGTCATCCGGCAAACGAGGAAGATCTGCGTCCTTACAAGCCTAAGCAAGCGAAGCAAGCACATGGGAGTTATGACTAGCAACTGCTTCGACAGAATGATCGCCATTAACTACCTAGCGGTTAAAACTACTTTGTAACTGCTCTGTAACAGCTACTTCCACCGGCTATAAATAAAGGCAATCTGTAAGTAAAGATATACTTCAAGAGGAGTATACTAGCATTTTTTCGCGTATTCTAGCTGTCTTCCTGTCTCCCGAGAGCTCTAACCCTATAAGAGAATTTTCAACATGAATGACAAGGAGTTGAGATTTCTCCTCCCTTGGCCACCACTTTAGTGCTTGAAATATCATTTGTTCTTCGTCGTCACTTCTTTCATGCTTTTCACATTTATATAAATCATAATTGTAAAGAATATTACTTTGCTGGTAAAGAACACAGAAAAAAAATTGATTATCCAAGTCTTGTTGTAAATCCCTAGTGACAGAAACTACAGTAGAGTTTCTTTGAGGTCAAGTACCAACGATCAAAATTTGGTTTATATATTTACGTTACTCCCTTCACAGTTCAGACACAGTATCATGTTCCTATCACTCACCCATTGCTGACACCTTGTCCGCTCACCACTTTATCGCTTTCCTTTCCAGCTTTCTGTAGTTTAGGGTTCAGGCCCGCTACAAAAGCGGATTTTTTTACTGCTTTTTCGCATGAGATCAATACTTAATTTAAAATTTCTGTGTTTGATCTGAAAACTCACCAGTACAAAAAGTATAAATAATTATGATAAACAATTCAATGTTTACAACCACAAATTTTTACTATATCTGATCACTCGCAATAATTCCTTACATCAATCTTCGAACAAAATTCTGTGTGTTTGAACATATACACAAACCATGCTATCATGCCAATATAGACAACGACCACAACCAACACGCACTGTCAGCACACAAATGTAAACAAACATTAATAAAATACATATAACCGTAACAGAGGGGAGGGTCCGGGTGAGCAAGTGCAAGTGCAAGTGTCAAGTGCCAAGTCTAGCAAAGAGTGAAAGTGAGTTCTGAACCACGTAGCCATGGGATTCACCCACACCATCCTCCTCCTCCTTCTCCTCCAAATCCAACACCCACAGCCCCACGCGTGAGAAAGCCCACCCCACCCCGCCCCGCCCAAATCAACATACATAGTACACTCGCTATAGATTATTAGGCTAACTCAATCCAATTAGATAGAGATGCAAGTGAATGAATGATATATGTGAGTGATCCATCTCCAGACTCCAGTCCCATTCACAATAAGGACGGACCACCTCAAACGACTACATCTCCCCAACCAAGATAAGAGAAGAGACCCACCCGGCCACAGTACAGTACAGATCGTATTAGTTCCCTTCCACTCCACACCACTTACATTCCATTCCTGGCTACCTTGTGACGTGATCCAAATACTGAATATGATAGGAAGAAGCTAACAATAATTAAAATGAATCACAAAACATGTTTTGTGTGTGTGTTTGGGAGCGCGCTGTAATTTCATTCAGTCAACAGTGATTTCCAACAGTGTGGTAAGCCTCGGCCTTCTGTACCGCCTAAGAAGCAGGGATGAGCATACAACCGTCACCGACGACAACGCCATGCATGCACCCGCTGCCCACGGGGGCAACCTCATTTTCACCCAGGGATAGAAAACCCCCGCAGCTACTGGGATGGCGACCACGTTGTAGGCGCTGGCAAACACATAATTCAGCCTAATCCTCGACAGCGCCTTCCTCGAAATATCAATAGCAGTGATCACATCTTCTAAGTTGCTCCTCATTAGCACAAAGTCAGCAGCTTCTATTGCAATGTCGGTCCCCGCCCCTATTGCCATACCCACGTCCGCAGCAGCCAAGGCTGGGGAATCATTTATGCCATCCCCCACCATGCCAACAATACTACCAGCTTTCTGGAACGTCCGAATCGCATCAGCTTTCCCTGCGGGCATTACTTCTGCTCGAATATCTACAATGCCAACCTTGATGCACACAAACAGTTGACTGAGGACAAGTACCAAAAAAAAAACTGAAAAAAAATAATACACAAATATTAAACTAGTAGACAGCACTTGCATGAATCATTAGGTGATTGCTAACAAAGATAAAGTAAATCGTAAAGAGAGCCTCAACAACAGAAGAAGGACAAAAACACACAAAACACAATATCTACCTCCTTTGCAACAGCTTTGGCTGTTCTCAAATTATCACCAGTAACCATAACAGGGTTGACACCCATTTTAATGAGGCCCTCTATAACAACTGCAGCTTCCCTCTTCAATGGATCAGCTACTCCCAGGATACCAATTAAATCATTATCATAGGCCACTAGTATTACAGTCTTGGCACTTTCTTCCAACTCTACTGCAAAATTTTCCACATGGTTTGGTATAGTGATGCAGTTATCGGACATCAGCTGCCGATTACCAACCTATTGGTTGATACAAGTTCGGATGAGCATCAAAATGGAATTTATTCATCCCTCTAAAATAAAACAGCATAGTCACTGTAGGAAACTCACCAGAACCTTTTTCCCGCCAATAGTGCACTGCACACCACATCCAGGCATAGCGAAAAACTCTGATACATCATGAAGCCATTCAAAGGACTTGGAACTGCTGACTTGAGCATCCTGTGCAGTGAATCCATCGAAGTAGTGGAAGTGTTGAGCATATTCCAGTATTGCTTTGGCCAATGGGTGTTCACTACTTGCCTGTGGCGAAAGAAACTGGTTGATATGAACACATTCATGTTTTCATTGAGTCGACATGGCATCTTATGTGGGAAAAGCAGCTCCATCTCAAAAAGAAAATATTGTAGTACCCATAATGAAATGAGACTTCAAAGTTGTTTATACCAAAACATTTTACCTCTGCTGAAGCTACTAGTGTAAGGAATTCACCAAGATCCATGCCTGAAAAGACTTTGGCAATAGTAACTGTGGCTTTTCCCTGTGTCAATGTCCCCGTCTTGTCAAATACAATATGCTTGATATTATGTGCTTTCTCCAATGCATCACCTCCTTTAATGAGCACACCATTGCTGGCCCCAACCCCAGTTGCAACCATGACAGCGGTTGGGGTGGCTAATCCAAGTGCACATGGGCATGCAATTACAATAACTGATATTGCAAACATAAGGGCAAATACAAAATGATTGCCATTCACTGGAAGCCACTCCTCAGGGTAGCCTCCAAAAATTCCAGCTAGGTACCTGGAAAATAGCCAGAAATTTGTTGGTAAGAAATGTACAAGTTACTAAAATTGCCAGTTGTATTGTATGTCTTCCATAAATTTTACAGATGATATATAAATAACATCAACACTTATGATGGAGCAATATGAAGCTTACCATCCGATTAATGTCAGAAGTCCTAAAGAGATCACTGCAGGGACAAAAATGCTTGCAACCTAAGGTTGAGAACACAACAAACGAAAACTATTTTTAAGATTAGATGTAGCTCTCAAATCCCAAACGATAATAACAAACAAAAAACTACTTACATAGTCAGCAAACTTTTGAATGGGTGCTTTAGACATCTGTGCCATCTCAACCAGAGAAATTATTTGGCTTAAAATCGTGTTACAGCCTACTCTATTAGCCTGTATGTGAAGTGAACCATGCATGTTTATTGTGCCTCCAATAACCAAAGAATTAGCTTCTTTCAAAACAGGTGCAGATTCGCCAGTGACCATGCTCTCGTTGACATAACTAGAACCCCACACAACAGAACCATCAGCAGGAATCTTTGACCCAGGAAGTACTTTCAGTATATCACCTGGCTGAATCAACAAAGCATCAATTTCCCTTTCTCCCACCACTTTCCCACCTGCAATGATGAAATGTAACTATGAATCCAAACATCATCAAAATAATTACCAGTTTCAATATGTTAAATGAGAGTGCATACTCCTATAAAAGTTGCACCAAGTAAAAATAAAAATAATAATTGTAACTTTGTTAATAAGGAAGCACGTACCATTTCCTTGAATAAGCAATATAGCAGTAGCAGGAGCTAGCTCCACAAGCTTTCTGATAGCATCTGATGTCTTTCCCTTGGCTAGACTTTCCAGGTATTTACCAAAAAGTACAAATGTAATTAACATAGCGCTAGCTTCAAAGTAGGTTGGAGACCAGAACCCTGTCATTGCACCATATAATAATGCACATACAGAGTAGAAGTATGAAGCTGAAGTTCCCAAAACAACTAGGACATCCATGTTAGTAGATCCATTTCTGAGTGCTCTGCCAGCTGCAACATAGAAACGCTTGCCTATAACAAATTGAACAACAGTGACCAAAGCCCAATTCAACCAATCACCCATGTGGAATGGGCCACAGCGCCATAGTAGTAAAGAATATAACAGTGGTATGTGCGGACAGATGACTCGCATAAAAAACAGAGGAACCTGGATCAATTGAATTGGAGTCCACAAATAATAATTTCATCAGAAGAGCAATTTTCATAAGACATTCAAATAGATTTTGATTAACTAAAAGCCCTAATTAACTGAAGTAGCCGAAAAAAGCTCTATGGACATGTTTCACAACTGCAATGAATTACACATGCCATTTAACAAATTAAGATGCTACATTATTTAGAGAATGTTTAGATATCAGACTTTTGTTAGGAAAAGAAAAAAAAAAAAAAAAAAAACGAACCACAAATTCAGCTTACACTTAGTAACAAGCTTGCAGTAAATAGCCGAAACATATTTGAAGACTCCTCAAGATCCTTGGAAGCCATTTTGGCATGCGGGCTCTTTACCGTTAAAGTTAGTTTTCCACGGCTGCTATTCTCAATTTCATCAACTAATGTTCTGGAATCAAGAAGTTCAGGGTCAAAATGGACTACTAATTCTTTTGATGCTTGATCAAAATAAAATTTCCTCACGCCCCTTATGATGGACAGATTTTCTTCCAACATTTTGATATCCATTTCATTTGAAATCCAAGTAACCCCCAGCACAAGTTTATCCTGCTCACTACTCTGAACAAATGAAGCTTCAAAACCAGCATCTTCAATTGAATTGATTATATCATCTTTACTAGTAACACTTGAGTCATATTCAACCTCTCCTACAGATGTAGACAAAGCAACTGCAGCTTTCTTAACACCCGGCAACTTCCTTAAAATCCCTTCTACAGAATTGACACAAGCAGCACATGTCATTCCTCCTATCAGAAATTGCCCTACTAGCATTGCACGTGGCTGGGAATTTGAAGTACTGGGTTCAGGCATTATCTCTGCCTCAAATCCAGTATCTTCTATTGCAACTTTAATGTCGTCATCCTGAAACGTGAAAGGGGATCAAGATTGAATACCAAGAATAATGTTATCACAAATGCATCAACCAGAATCATCCCCTAAAACAAAGCTGGCGATATATTTGTCATTGCAAATACAAACATCATCATTATGTAACAAAGATACGTGAAAATAATCTGGCTGATTTTCTTGCAAAACAGGGTGATATAATTGGAGAGGATTTTATCACCTGCCTCTTAAGAATTCTTTGCCACAGGGCCCTCCATCTAAGAGCTTGGCCCATGCAAAATTGGAAAAATAAACTCAAAATTGGAGCTTTGTTTTTGTGCTCGTACTACATCCTAAATAACTCCAAGCCAGATTAGATATAACTCCTTTATAGAAACCTAGCAAGAGATCCAGAAGGTCATAATGATTGAAGTTTCACCAGAGATTGGCTATTTCAATACACTAGAAAGAGGTTAGCGATGAACTTAACTCAACAGGGAAAGACAGGAAGGTCAATTGTAGTGCTAGAGATCGGAACACATCTACAAGCATGTTCTGAATTATATCGGGAATTTACTGATGCGCAACTGAAAGACAACAAAGTTCATTGAGGAGATCCGCCTACATGATTTATGTTTAGGGAGAGCTAGTGAATGTATCATGTACCAAGTGGTATAACTGATCATCGAAACTGTCTCACACAGAGGAAATTCTAGCAATCCAAAGAATAATACAACAACTTTACATGTGAAGTTATCATGCACCAAATGGTCAAACTGAGACATCAAAACTGTCTCATAGAGAAGGTATCCTAGCAATCCAAGGATTAATACAACAATCTTAAGCGTCCAGAATTGGGTGCCAAACAATAGGATCCAAACAAGAGGTGAATTGTCGTCGTCTATGTCCTAAAGGGCAAGCTTAGTCAAGTGAAGTTTTGTTAAGTCAATTAGGAATGAGGATGCAGCCTAGTCGGACGAAAAGGGGATCTAAATTAGGGATCACAGACACAAGATTATCCCATCGACACGGTCAAATGGATTTTCAATGCTATATGCAAGCAGTAGATCGAATCCAAACTCCATTCTTCGCCATCTTCGTATTAGGCTTATTTATCTCTCAAATTTTTCAAAACAAATCTATCGATGTAGTGGCTAGGACACGGCAGACGCCATAGATGTAAATTCATGCAGCAGAGGACGAGTACCAGAGAAATTTTTTAAAAGGGAAATTCAAGAAACGGAGAAACAATAAAAGTAAAAAAAGAAAAAGGAGGATGGGAAGGGGCCGGACCTTGAGTAAGTTAGGATCAAAGGTGACATCGGCCTTGCCCTGAAGCAAGGCGACGGAGGCTTTGACGACACCGTTGAGAGTAGAGAGGGCCGATTCGACGGAATTAGAACAAGCTGCACAGGTCATCCCGGTGACCCTGACCTGAACCCTACGCAGATTCCTCCTCCGAGAAATAGAATCATCTTCTTGGGGAGCGTCGAGCAACCTTTGGTCCTCGCGGGGATCCTGCTCGTCGTCGTCGTGGTAGGTGGGTAGGCGGGAAACATCACGGGAAGAGGCGGTCAACTGAAGGGCCTTGGAAGTCCAGGGCATGGTGAAATCCAAATCCCCCGAGGAGTCGGACGAAATCCAGAGACGTTGGTTGGGGCAAGATTATATGTTGTAGAGAAAGAGAGAGATATATATAGATATAATGATAGTAGCTGGGGGGGTAGGGATATTAATATATATTAGGAGAGGAAAAGAAAGGGGTGGATATTTTTGTGTTGGGGCAGGCCAGGAGGGGAGGGGAGGTTTTTGACGTATAGATGAATTGTAGTGTCTTGTATTGAATTGTACTGTCTGTCTGGTAGTATTTGATAATAATAGACTTGCATCTAAGGTGGATTGGATTGGGAGGAGATGATTTTGAATAATAACAAATAACAACAACAATAATAATCTGAAAATGAAGGCAGCAGCAAGCAAGCAAGCAAGCCAACAGCTAGGTGAGAGGGAGAGGGAAGGGATGGGACCTGTTAAAAGTAAGAAATGAAGGAGAGGGAGAGGGAGAGGGAGAGGGAATGGGGGCGAAAGCAAATTGAGGGGAGAATCCATTGACGACGATGGATGCATGCTTCGTCAGCAATGCATTCATTATGCATAACATGACATAACTTTGTTATGCAAACGAGCGAATAGTAATAATATGTTAGTATTTATCTTCTCCATTTCTTTACAAATATTCATCCATACATAATAATTTATTCATTCTTATTATCTAGAAATTTGGAATTCAACTTTGATTATTCAAAAGGAGAAAGAGAAAAAGAAGAAGGGAAAATTCAGTTCAGGGCAGGTGGGAAAGGAAAAGCAGCGTGACGTTTGTAGCCAAATTCTCCTCAATCACTACTCACTATTGGTTCATGTAATAATAATAATAATAATAATAATAATAATGCATGAATCAATTAGGAATTAAGATTTATACTTGTATCTTCACTAAGCCCGCGCAACCTCGACGCCTTGCAATTTTGAATCCATAACTTCAACGTTATAAATTCATTTTTTATGTAATAATTAATGGAACTATCTTTTATATATCTTTAATCTATATTATATATATATATATATATTAGTATTTAAATTATTTTTTTTAACATCCGGCCGCTATAGTATATCATCTTCAATCTATTATCATTATAATTTTATAAAATTGATAACAATGATTAATTTTTATATATTTTTATTATTTCATAATTTATAAATAATAGTATTATATTTAATTTTAGTTTAAATGTTGAAACGGAATATATAAAGAAATGGTTGAAAAATATGTAGGGTTTGTTCTTTTTGCAATAAATCCTCGTACATTTTTTTTCCAAAAAAAATACTATATTACACACCTTCGTTATTTTTATATTTTTTATACAATTTTATATATTTCATATAAAAATATCTTTTCAAAGTATTTTACAAAATAAACACACCAGTAGGTAAACATGATATTTTAAAATAAATTTGAATTATATTTGTATACTTAAATTATTGATAAATTTAAATTATTTCAAATTTCAAATTTCAAATTTCAAATTTCAAATTTTAGTTAATAAATAATTAAGTAATTAAATTTTTATTATAAATAATGAGTTCTTGAAAATATAATGTGTTTGTTAACTGTATTTATTAAGAGACTGTAAGTGTCATTATAATAAAAACACTAATAAGATAATTACATAAGTAACAGAAAAAAAAAAAAAGTAAATTGTAACATATGCTCTAACTAACATTATATGTTTACACACTACAAATATTTCCGTATGTTTTGGCATTATTATTTATTGTTAATAATATTTTTAAAAAATATATCATATCACTTTTCCTTTTTTTTTTATTTTATAAAATACTTATATTAAACACTTTTTATTTTTATTTTAGAATTCAAAAAATGTACTCCCTTGTCCCTGATATAATATTAGGGTTTTTGTAATATGATAAATAAATAATTATAGATTAAATTTACAAATTTGAAATTTATGATTTGTTAATATGATTAAAGTTTGTAATACTCTTCCAAAAAAAATGAAAAATGTTAACATTATATTTTGCATTGAAAGAGTATTGTAAATGGAATATTGTTATAATAATAATAACACTTTTTCTTTATTATAATAATCATAAAATGGCATGCCTTCACCTTCACCTCTCTTCACCTGCCGCCTGCCGGAATGGAATGGTCAACGGTGATCTTTTACTGTTGTTTTTAGTATTGTCATTATCATATGTTAAACCAATTTTTTATATTGAATTTAAAAACGAGGGAGTACTGTCGCTCACGCTAGATCAACTATGTATGACAGGTGGATTTGGAGGCACGGAAATTGAACCCGCAAATTAAATTAAATTCCTATACTACCCTGGCCATAAATGGGACAATGCTTTTTCGTTGCATTTGAATTGTTTTAATAAAGGAATTGCTTGATTGATTTACAAGAGTTTAACTTGTCTCTCTCTCTCTCTCTCTCTCTCTCTCTCTCTATTAAACAATAACTAAATCAGATCATCACATTAACTACATGTCAAAAATAATTAATTAATGAGCCACTGCCGCTGCCACTGCCGCTGCCCTGCACTCCTCTTCAATTCTTGGAGTCTTATCAAAGCATATATAGCAATCAGCACATGAATATGATCATGTGCCTACACCTGCATACGTACATATGATGTCCCAGTTGTACGAATGTTTTTTACGAGAAATGAAATTAACGTCAGTATCAAGAGTAGATAAACGATGGTGAAATGATGGTTTAACCACCACTGGTATATATTATTATCATTAATGATGATGATGACGGTGGTGGTGGTGGTGGTGGGTGGCGGTTAGTTTAGTTTGTTTTACTTAATCAACACCAACCTCCTGCTGCTGCTGCGATGTCGTCACCTACACCTACACCTATCTAATACACCACACCACACCACATCCATATTGCGATTTCCTTTCCCCCATATAATATAGATATAGTCATATAGATACAGTATTATAGAATACTCCCTCCCCTATTCCATATCTGAGACTATTATCTATAAAATTATCAAGGGTCTCATTTTGCAAAAACTCATAAGTCTTTTGTTTTTTTAATGTTTACTATTTGTTACAAAAAAATAATTTATTAATTTTTATAAAAACTGTGATTTTATTTGAATAAAATTTCTTTATTTATTTTAAAAGATACTACTGCTATACTTTTATCATAACAATATGGGTATGTGAGGATAAAAGAACAAATATCTATGGGTATAGGTATAGGTGGAAATAAGTTAGACGATCTATTAAGACTTCACAGCTCGACCTGCATAGGGTTTGATTTGACCCCATTTGTTTATTGAAACTATTAATTTCAAATATATTTTTAATTTTTTTTAAAACAAATAGAACAAATTTAGATTTTTTTCTAAAAAGAATTTGGCCTACAGTCTGATTATATATATGTATATATATATTTAATTATTTATAATTCATAAAAAATTATATTTAGTATCAATAAAAATAAAAATATTAGTTTATTTTAATAATTTATTATATATAATAAATAATTGTATATGTTTTTCTACAACATATTAAGTTTGAAAAAAGATAATTAAAAAAATATTATACTAATTCTTAAATAAGCTTATATATCAGTTCAAAATTTAAAGAAAAGCAGTTCCAGACTTTAAATATATATATATATATACATCCGCAAGGCCATCTACCTGAAAGTGTGTATTAAGTAACGCTAGACTAAACTTAATACCCTGCATGCCAGACCAAATACAACTTTAAATATATATTTTAAATTTATAAAATATGTCTAAGCTATTTCCAGCCCTAGCTATAGGCTAGTTTCCATTCTCATTTTTAGGCCGCCGGGTTGGGTTCAGTTCCATTAATGCGGTGGAAGGCCTGAATCAAAACCATGTGCAGCCCAGCTCCAGGAGACACAAAACCACAGCTACCGCTACACTCTTCCTTGGACTGAGAGGGGAAATTGAAGCCCGCCTGCGCTGCGCAATGCTGCCGTTACGTCGCTTGCTGAGGCCGAGGGCCATCTTCGGAATCGGAGGTAGATCGAGATGCACGGGCTCATCACCTTCCTCAATTATCCACATCCACACCCTTTCATCCACCGCTACTACACTCCTTTTCGAAGACGCGCCATCCCCGCTTTTGTTTTCCCAAGTTGCCTCCGCAGGCCCCTCTTTACACCCTCCTTTGTTTTTTCTTAATCATTACAGAACATTCTCCACCTTCTCCGCCCCAGGTCAGTCAATTTGTTTCGGTTTTTAACATGAACTTGATACGCAACATTAGCTGAAAAAGACAAGGAATACAAAAGCTTCATGTTTAATTCAAATGTTTGTTGCTTCCTTGATTGAATATAGCTAGGAATCACAAATCAATCCCCCGTGTCAGAAGTTGTGTGATTTTTTATTTTTCATTTTTTGAATGATTCACTGATCACTTTTTGAGTAATCAAAGTCGTTACTTTCAATGTTTTAATGGCTTTAAAGATCCCCCAAGGGTGGTGTCGATTGAGTCTGAAGAGCAGTATAATGATTCACTTCGCAAGGTCCAAGGTATACTTACGGAGAGTTGCATATTATACCTTTTCCATCGTTAGCTCAAGCTTGTGAGTAAAGTTTGATCTGTTTGTTATGTATTAATTAACTTGAATTTGTTGTAGATGAATCTTTGTCCGCTGTGTTCTATTTTGCTGCAGTTTGGTGTGGTCCCTGTAAGTTTTTCTTTTTTTTCGATGAAGATTATGGCAGCTACATTATTCGGTCAAACTTGCGTCATGCTATTGTTTCACGTAAATTCTTTGTAGGTCGGCTATTGTCTCCCATCATTGGGCAGCTGAGTGACGAGTATCCCCATGTTACCATATATAAGATAGACATTGAAAAGGTAGAGTGCATACGGGAATCATGATCCATTGATGTCATGAAGTACCTAGCTTCGATTGACTGCTAATGTATCATCAACTGACATTGCTTATCTCTTGAAATGAGCAGGAAGGGGTAGAAAATGTACGACGCATGGTAAATCTTACCGCTGTGGTAAAGTCATGTTATCCTTGTGTCTTGATCTTCTCACTCTGAAGCTTAAACAAAAGATTGTGTTGTATGGCATTAGTCTTCCTCCTATCATTTGAGTAGGTTTGTGATTATATATCTGAATTGCCAGGCATATGGAGGAAAATAGAGTTCTGATTGTTATTACTCATTTCAGTGGGAGTTATTTGAATTCTGAATTGAACTTTATGATATGAATCTTTCTGTCGAGGGTGGCAGCATGGTTCCTTAAAAAGTTATGTAAACAATTTCTCTGAAAATTTTCAATTTCCAGATTGTTGACAATTACACAAGATTGGACCTTCCCTTGTTAGTACTGATATTGATCAAGTGAGAACCAGTAAAGAGTTTAGTGGTGTCCTGAAAGCAATGAGATAATATAACATTGTGATTGCTTCAAAATATTTTCAGGAATAGGATGGTAATGTAGATACAGTCAATTTTATTCTTTGCTTCCAATGATACCAATTCATTGCTTGCACACAAAAATTAATTGTTGATATTCCGAATGGAAAAATGGAAGGAATTTATCGCCATGCCAATTACATGCAATTTCTGTCCCTGCTAGGTAACAAGCATAGACAAATTTAAGACTGTACTAGATATAGGACATGATGGTATTACGGGGTGCTGATTAATCGCATATTCTGTGCTTTCACATAAAGTAGGTAATAGACCAAGGCACGAAGCACCCTGTTATCTTTTAGCAATCACTCCCTCATAATTTCATGTGACTGGAGTCCATTCTGGAAGTGTGTGGGTGTTTTGCATTACTCTGGTGTGTTTCATTTGTGGATAATATCAGTAATAAGATGCTTTTTTCTTTTCCCTTTCAGCCTACACTGTACTTCTTCCAAAATGGCAAAAATACCGATGTAATGCTTGGTACAGATGCTAAGCGCCTCAAAAATAAAATGGAGGAGCTATACAAATGACAGCAGACATGCTTTTCATCTTAATCCAAGGTTAGAAGCTTTTGCATGTGTTGACGACTAAAATATAATATACAGGAAGGCAAGTTGTAGTTTGTTTTGGCAGGGGCAACTTGTACACTTTCTATCATGCGAAACAGAGGGAAATCCGTTTATTGTATCCATTATGATGTTTGTTGGAGTGATTGAATAAACAAGATGGATTTCAAGTGCTCTTTTTTCCAACTTCTTCACCTGTGTAGCCAACAAATTATTTATTATCTGCTTTTGTGTCAATGTGCTTGTATGCATGTACTTAGATCGTGCTGTTAACACCGGAAGTATAGTTTGCTTTGTGTGTTGATGATTTGTGAGTTGTGAGGGTGCTTCTTGGTAGTAGGGGGGTGAGGCAGCTGGAAAGACCATGAGGGGATCTTGGTTTCTGCCATAGTCCTCAAATCAATAGGTACTCACTCAATCAATCACACGGCATACTCCATACAATTCTGTGTTTTGTTGGGGGTAAAGATTGTATGTGGGTGAGGGTGAAGATCTGGACTGGAGTTTATGCATGTGTACAAGTGTAGTGAGGCCTTGTTTTTCCCTCAGTATTGGCATTGAGGAGAAGAATGGAAATATTGGGAAGAGGGATGGACACTAGTTACTAGCTGCTAGATTGGCATTGGCTAATGGCCTGCAGCTGCAGATTAGGGAAGGGAAGAGAGAGAAGGACTGGATGGGCATGGCACTGCGTGGGTGTGCGTGCATGGGTCGGGGATGAGTGTAAGAAATGGTCATTAGAGGTTGATGATGTAATAATGAAAAGAAGCAGTCTTGCGTGGGTGATATTATATTATATCCATGACAAGTGATTGGGTGGAAGAGAAGATGCAGATGCAGATGCAGCAGCAGCAGCACGTGTGAGACTGAGACTGGGACTGAAGAGGTATTTAAAGGTCGAAAATTGATAGATGATGATGATGACGATGATGAAGAGAAAGAGAGGAAGTTGCAGGGTAGGGTAGAGGATAATGTAGGGTGTGGCCCATAATTCTCGGAGGAGAAAAGAAATAAAGAAAGAGCTCATCAGCTCAGCTCAGCTCAGCTCCAGCAGCTTTGAGGTTTCAAGGGACATGGCAATTGGCAATGGCACGAGCATCTATTTACACCGTCTGTCTACACATCCCTCAAAATCAAATCAACATGCATGCATGGGTATGGGGAGAACAAAAGGGAGCTTATTACTACTGCTACTACTATTATTATAATAACACACATCATTCAATTCAATTCAGTTCAGTTCAATTCTCTGTTATGTTAACTTATCTATCCCCTCCCTCATTCATGAGTGGGTCGGATCAGATCAGATCATTCATTTATTCATTCACTTGATAGATACTAGTATTATTTAAGACTGCTAAGTAGGATTTACATGCTATTTCTTCTTGTGTTCCTTTGATCAACTTAACTAAACTGTATCCCTTTTGATCAATCATTTCATTTGTAATTGCATCTCATCTGATGCCTAAACATGTGTTATTAAGTAGTAGTACTTCATTTTTAACTAATTTGTTGGGATGCCTGATGACAGACAGGCAGACAGCGAGGAACCCAACAAGTCATCACTCTCATGTATGTATGTGTATAAGAAAAGAAGAGGTCAGAGAGAGAGAGAGATAGAGAGAGGTGGTAGTACTGAGTGAGTGAGTGATTCCTTCTCTCCTCTCCTCTCCTCTCCTCTCTTCTCTTAGCGTTAGTTTTATGTATGTGTCGTGTCATGGTATCTCGAGATTCCAAATATACATACATACAACTTGGACCAGCAGTCTATTATGTTATCAGATTTGACGGCTTGACCTTTGACCTTGACCAGCTCTGCTGGACCCTCTGCCATCTTTCAACCATTCCCTCTCTCTCTCTCTCTCTCTCTCTCTCTCTCTCTCTCTCTCTCTCTCTATATATATATATATATATATATACACATATGCATATGCTCAGCGGCAAATATCCTTAATTAATCATTTCTTTATCATCATGACCACAATGATTGATTCATTGCTTTCTTGCTTCATGGAGTATATATTATGGGCCGCGCTGCATGCACATGTTACTACATATTATTATCTTTATATATTTATAGTCCTGCAAAATTACCGATGCTATATTTTCCCAACTTATTTTGATCTGCAAACTAAACAAAATAAGTCACAGTTGGGAGAACCATTGTTTAAATCATTATATAACCAGACTTCACCGCTTTTCTCGCAAACAGTCATTGATATATAATAATAAATAATTAATTAATGAGGTGGAGTGATTTGATATGAATTGAATAGTCGAGTACTGTGTTACATATGTAAAGCGGTAGTGGTTTAATTTGTTGTGGTTGATTCAGTGGTGAATGATTAATGAATGGAATGATTAAGAAAGTGGAGACCTCCGAGGGGCCCTCTTCCTTCTGCTGCTGCTGGTGGTAAAGGACGACGACGACGACGATAGCTGCTGCACAGATCCATTATTATTATTGCTGTTGTTCATTGGGGAGCTGGCGCGTGCTGCTGCAGCATATTCCTCCTCCTCCATCTCCATCTCCATCTGCCGCAGCAGAATATTAGATGTAGAGCAGGCAGCAGGATCAGTGGGATCTGCATCGTCCATATACCTCCGCAGCCCTTCAAATTGGGAGATACTCATACTTGCTGTAGTCATTAGCTCCTCATCACCATCACCATCACCATCACCAAACCTGCCGTACACAATGCTCCATAAATCTTCCCCGTGGTACACCATGTGATCCACCTGCAACACCACCAATTACTCAGTATTATTAATTCACGATTCATTATAATATACATATACTAGTACAAGTTTTTAGTAGTAGTAATTCATTAACTAGCCTATGCAGAGTAGATTAGAGCAGAGGGTGGACCCACCCACCCTGACCTTGCATGAGAGGGAGCAGAATTTGAATGGGTCCTGCAGATTTCTGTCGCAGGTGAAACAAGTGTTCCCCGCTGATGAATTATAAGAACCGGCTTTGCAACATCTCGTCGACGACTGTGCCCGAGGATTCAAGAATATCACTTTCGCACTGTTTATTGTGTACGGCTGCACCAACCACCACCACCATTCATTCATTCATCCCATAGATACAGATATAGATATAGATATTGTACTTCCTCCCTCGGGCCGGGCTCACCTACCTGAATGTAGGAACAGTCGATGAGTTTTTCAAGGTCGTCCAGTCTAATAACATCTTGGTAAACATATCTCCTCACCTGCACCCACCCATTACTTATATAAATTTCACTCTCTCTCTCTCTCTCTATCTATATATATATTGATAACTGATTGATTCACCAAAATAGAAGCAAGCAAGCACGCAATGCATTAAAAGAAAATGGTTGCAATTCAGATTAATCCATGTACGTAGGCTGTGGCTAGAGCTTGCCTGTAGTCAGTAGAGAGAATTGGATGAAGAATATTATAGACAGACAGACAGACAGAGATGGTCAGCGTAGGTATAGGTGTAGGTGAGTACTTGGCATACGTGCTGAAATTAAACAAACATCTCCCTGCAGTCCCAGCCAATTAATTACTCCATTCATTGTTAGGAATTAGCAATTAATTTACGTTATCCAATTCAGTACGTACGGTACGGTACCTATGTTATGCAGTTGGCAATTAATTAAGTAAAGGCAAAGAGTCTGTCTGTCTGTCTGTCTGTCAAAGATGAAAGCAACGTATACGACTCATGTATATATGTGTATTGAGTATGGATATATATTATATATATATGGTAGGGAGGGGCCGGGGATGATGAAGATTATTGATTAATGATTATACAAGTAGAAGTAGACGTAGACGTAGAAGGGTGAAGGGTACCTGGAGGAGAGGGTGAGCTGGGTGGTGAGCGGGGAGGCAGTGGAGGCAAAAGCTGTGGCAGCACAGGAGACAGAAGATGTTCTTTTCACTCTTCCTGCGATTCTGGTGGGCCCCGCAGCCCCCAAAGAATGTCTCCGCCATTAATCCCTCCAGCCATCCAGGCATCATAGCAGCCACAGATGATGATACTGCAGCCGCCATCTCTCCCCCTCCGACCGACACCTAAATAAATAACATATACAGACAGACAGACAGACAGATAGATAGATAGGCGAATTGAAGGAAGGTAAGGTAGCTAGCGTGCAATCTTCGTGATTACCTTATAAATGTGAAATTATAAGGATAGGGACGATGAAGTTCGTAGCTATATAGGTGAAGAGGGTTGAGCTGATCGAGCCTGTGAAATTAAATACTCCTACTTACACTTATATATATATATAGAGAGAGAGAGAGAGAGAGAGAGAGAGAGAGAGAGAGAGCAGAAGAGCAGGGCCATGATTGGGATCGAATTCGAATATCGAAATGTGCCCTTGCCCTTTTAATTTTAATTTGCTCACTGCCCCCTCCCCTTCCCGACCCTGCAGTGATCGAGCTGGCCGAACTGTATGTGGTGTGGTGTGTGGGTACGCTTTCATTTCATATCATATCGTAACCTGTGCTCTGTCCGTGTCCCCTTTTTTTTTTTTTTTTTTTTTTAATTCTATTTATAACTTTTAGGAAGATAAATAATATTATTATATAATGGCCGAATACATGCAGACATACAGGCCTCGCCAGTGACACCATATATATGATACTACTATATTGGTTGGATTGGATCATTAATTAATTTAATTTCTTGTTGCCCCATGGCCATGGACTGAGTAGTTAACCAGAGAGCTTGAAGCACACTGCCAATTGCGCCAGAAACTAACCAACCTGCACCTGCAGGGACGTGGGTGAGTGATTTAACAGTGTTTATTGGATAGAATATTGTAATCCTTTCTTAATTAGCCTCTACGGCATTCTTGTGGTTGATTTACATGTAGTTAATTAATGTGATTCAATTAATAGAATGTATGTATGTAAGATCATGCAGAGATCCTCTATTAATTGATTATGCATGCATGCTTGTTAGTTAGTAGGATGGCCCATGCCTTGTTTGGTGGACGATGATGATGTATGTGCATGTTCGTGATTATGAGCGTCCGTCCGTCACCAGGCCCACCCTCTTGCATTGGGCTGGGCTGGGCTGGATTGGATTTGCCCCTTTCACTATACATACATAAACAAACATAGCAAATCAAATAACCAATGCAAGCAGCCCCAACTCTTGCAATTCTTTCATTGCTACTTTCCCATCCTCCTCCTCCTCCTCCCACTCCCACTACTGCTACTGCTGCTGCTGCTGCTAGACACTCTCCCCTCCTCTCCTCCGCCTATTAGGCTACTAACACTATTCATTGATTTGATTGTTCCTTCCCTTTCCTACATTTTGAGTTTTGAAATCTGCCAATGGCGGCACCACCAAAATCTCCTCAACTCAATTAAGCGTTTGTTATGACTGTCTGCCTGACATTCATCATGGTTTGCCTGCCTCGGCTTGCTTGCTTTTCAAACTTCTCTCTCGATAACGGACGGACCATTCTATCTTTCTTTCTACATATACCCCCCATCAATCACTCATGTCTGGTTTGGTTTGGTACTGCTCATTTTGCCACTTCAATGTTGTGTGTGTGTGTGTGTTTCTTGTTCCTGGAATTGTATCCAATCTAACCACCTCCACCATCATCAACCATAATTAAATCTTGAGGATTACATAGCAACAACAATTGGGGGTGGGGGATTACCATAATTACCCCCGCCCCGCCCCGCCCCGCACGTCGACAGCTCCCAACCGACATCCACCAAATTGCAGCGCTGCATTTGCCATTCTACCTAACGTATGTAGTATTATTCTTTATTTCCTCGTCCGTCGCCCATGGCATTGCCATTGTAGTAAGCCTTGCTCTTCTTCTTCCTCTATATAGATCCTCTCTCCATTCAACCGTTCACTGTTTCTCTCTTATACACATATCTTTCAGCGATCTCGCCTTCTTTCCATGGGGGAATCCGTGTCCAATAACAGTGATCCGCCCCTGCCGCTGATCGAAAGGCTCAAAGACTACGGTCAAGACAATGTTTTTGCTCTCTGGGACGAGCTCTCCCCCGAAGAGCGCCACCTCCTCGTCAAGGACATCGAGGTGCCGCCTCACTCCTCGTTCCGATTCCTTTTACTTCAGTGCTAATCGTTATTTGCCATTCCCCTTTCTTATATCTCCAAATACAGCACGTTTCAAGTTAGTCATTGATTCAAATTCAGGGCGTCTCGGACTTTGTGAAACCCTGAGCAAAAATAATACGTACGTTATAAAGATGTAATTAAATGAATTTTCAAAATAATACTCCTTCCGTCCCACGCACCATATCACGTTATCGTTTATATCCGTCTCACATACTATATTATACTATGTCACTTTCTTTTTTTTAAAAAAAAAAATAATAATTACACACTTTAATATCATTTTAAATTTTTTAATTTAATTTAATTTTTTATTTTACTTAAACTAATTAGTTATCTTAATTTTAATTTATAATTATTTATATTATCGAATAATTATTTTCACTAATACATTCTTAATTATCTACTCATTACACCCCTCTTAAAATATCGTGTCTACAATGTAGTAGATACAGTATGTGGGACGGAGAGAGTATTATCGAAAAATATAATAATTAATTCTATAAAAGTAAAAAAATTTTTAATTATATATTAATAAAAGCTCGTATCCACAAAGTATATCATCAATAAAAAATAATAATAATAATTTATTAATATAAAAATAATAGTACAATAATAATAACAAACTCTATCATTGATTACAGAATTTCTGCACAAAAATTTATATAATATAATATAACTAAGATAAAAAAAGGCATGAACAAACTAAATTTAAATAAGCTTCCCAAAAAATTATATAGCAGAATTGACATGTTCATCAAAAGATGATTCGACTGCACAAAAGAAAATAAATTTAAAAAATAGCATAATAAAAATAAATTATAAAACAAAGAAGAGCCTAATCACTAAAACCATCATTTGCCAATAATCCTCTGCCACAACATTTCTTAAACAACTTACAACGAAAACAAAAACTTTATTAAGTTCTTTTGAATATACAAGCCAATCTCTATCGCATCTTTCCTTATTTGGCAATACTCTAGTTTAGAATGTAGCATAAAATTATCTTCCAAATTTATCTTTATTGCCTTTTACAATAGATAAATCTCTTTTAGGACCTTTTATTGCTAACATATTAATCATTTCAGAATCTAAAGAATTCCAATTTTTTTATATAAAAAATATTAAACATAACATTAGAATCATTATCAAAATTAGCGATACATTCATCAATGTCAATATTTTCAATTTCATTATTATTAACATTATCAGTAATATCAACATTTTCAACCTCAACATCATCACCAACATAATCATCAATAAAATTTTTATTATTTTCAATATTCAAATTATTTTCGACATTTAGATGTGGTTCTCTTATAATGAATTTATTAATTGCTCCACTTTGAGATTGAATTAGTTCATCAATTCTCTTTTTCTTTTTTCATATTCCGACTCGTACTTTTTTTTTTTGAGGCATAATTTATTCTATTATTTGTAAATTGTAAAAAATAAGGAACAATAAAACCTGGATTGAAATCCTCTCCACCGGCATTGGACAGAGTGCAACTGGGCGCAGACTCTTGTCTTTCCTGCAATCCATAAACCATAATCCAACAATTTATCAAAAAAGAATTAATTGAAAAAAATAATAAAATTACTATATTTGAATTAGTAGATAAGAGAATTAAAATTATTAAATTAATTCGTACCAAAAAAAAAAAAAAGCAATGTGTGTCACCTGTTTGTCTGTAGTTGAATCGAATAAAAAAAAGAAGATAGAAAAGGATTGCATGTTTATCTATGTCGGCTGAATTGAGAGAGAAAAGGAGAGGGAGGAGGGAATTGTCTGTGTGTCTATGTCGTTGAACCGAGAGAGAAAAGAAGAAAGAGGGAGGAGGATTATCTGTTAGTTTGTCTACATCTGAACCAAGGGAGAAAAGAATGAGGGAAATGGGGACTGTGAACGCTGGCTAGTTTGAGGAAAAAAATGAAAAAAGACGTAAAATTGTGAACGTAACGATTGAATTTATGATTAGAATTTAAAAAATAATTTTAGAATTATAATTAAATTAGATAATTATAAAAAAAAAATTATAATTTAAAATTTAAAATTTAATTTTAAAATTTAATATATCTAATAATAATAATAATATATTAATATTTTAAAATATAGGTCTATTTTAAAATTGGGGTCTGAGCGCTCCCTGTAGCCGCCCGCCGCTGTTGAAATTTAAAGTGTTCTTCCAAGTTGAAGATATGAACTCTTTCCTGTTAATGTGAACTTGAGGATCTTGTTTTTTCTTGTTTTTGTCTCTATATATATATATATATATATATATTTTTTTTTTAACTTAATTTTGAGTTGTGTAGGATCTGGAACTGAAATGGGAGGTATGATCCACCCATATCGACATGTTTGATTGCCACATTTCATAATAAATGCTATTCAAGTATAGTAGATGCCTTTTCTCTTCCAGTTATCCGTGAAGTTCATGCTAGATGATTATATTTGATTCCATTATAGATATGTATCAAGGCCTTATATTATTTTCTGAATTTTACGGTTTTCCGGGACTTTGTTACAGGGCCTGGATCTTCCAAGGATAAATCGGATTATTCAGTGCTCGTTCCAGTCACAAGGTTCCTCGGTTATACTATTCGCTTGGCAAGTGTACTTCATTAAATTTTGAATGTGTATTTCTTAAGTTTTAACCAATTTGTATAGGGCTCCCCAAAGCAGCTATAGAGCCAGTGCCAGAGAGCAATGTATCAACGGTAGACGAAAGAACAATGGAAGAAAGGGAGAGGTGGTGGAAGATAGGGTTAAAAGCCATATCAGAAGGGAAGTTGGGTGTGGTGCTTTTATCAGGTGGACAGGTTCGTCACTCATTCGAAAGACTGCACAAATTTTCTTTATTAAATTGAAATGTTATATTTATCCTTTTTCTTTTTATTATTATTAATTTTTATTTATATATTTATTTGTTAAGCCTACAATATACTGTAAAAGTTTTGAAGATATATATGGATTGGAGGGCCGCTTTATGTCACAATGGGCAGAATCATGGTGTTTATGTTCAGGTGTGTGTTGGATATAGGCTTCTAGTGAAATTCAACCTTTTGCTTTAGGTTCAGTAACTGAAGATGGAATCCTCTTGTTAAAAGGGTAGAGGAAATTTAAGTTTATATTCATTTCTTTTGTGACAAATCTTTGGAATGCAATTAAGGTTTGCTACATTAATTAGAACCTGGTGATGTCAGAATACTTGAAACAGAGTGAGATTATGGGTATGGTTTTGGAACAGT